TTGGGGACGCAACAATCTTGTACAGTTTAATGCTTCCAAAACACAGTACTGTGCCTTTATTAACAAAAAGCGTCCTTGTGCTCATCCGGTTTCGATGGGTGGCCGAGTTCTGCCAAAGAGACATTCATTTCGACTAGTCGGAGTCCAGATCACCGAGGACCTGATCTGACAGGAACAGATCTCGTCAATAGCGGCAGCTGCTGGGAAAAAGCTAGGCTATTTGTTTAGGGCTAAGAGGTACTTTTCTCCGCATGACCATCTCACAAGGCCCAGATAAGGAGTTTGGGGTGCTGCCGCCCCGACTATATTATTTATGCTCGATGATGTCCAGAGGAGGGCTGTCCTACTGATCGGTGGCTCTTCTCTAACAGACAGTCTCGAGACCCTTTCGCATCGGCGGGCCGTCGGCGATCTAGCTCTCTTCTACCGCTACATCAACGGGCTTTGCTCCTCAGAAGCTCTCTTCCGTGATGCCGTCGCGCGATGTGCCTGCCAGACAGACCCGCCTGACTTTGGCCTACCATCTTAATCGTGTTGTACTTCGTGCATCCAGAACTGGCCGATAAGACCGCTCCTTTGTCCCGAGGGTTTGGTTGTAGAAAAATCTACAGGAGTAAGCTTTTCCCAGTTATCCTAATCTTAGGCAGTTCAAAAATCGGATTAACAAAATTTCTTTTGGATCATCATAGCAGCCGCGGTGTCTCGGCATTTAGGCTTCAGCCTGCGTGGCAAAAAAATACCAAACCATGATTATACATATCTGACTCTGTAATCTATTTTGACACACCTCAATACTGCTGGTTATTTTAAAACATGGAACTGTTCCATTATACATTTTCTATAGCACGAGCTTCTCACCATTTTAACGTTTGATGCGACAGACACTTCAGTGGCACTTCACCGTAAGTATGCATGCATAGCACTATAAATGGAAGTAATGTTATCAAAAGATGAGTTCTGGATCCCCTGTAAATCAAATATCGGTGAGTTATTTTTATTTAGTTGCCCTCTACAAAAAGCCACCTTGAACCGTTCTCTTGACCGCTGTAAAATTCATATTCATTAATAAAGAAAGGGAAAAATACCCGGTCAGTTTAAAATATAGGAACGCAACGCCATTGGCATGACGTAAACATTTCAACTTGCCAGCCGACCCTTTGTTCTCACTGTTTTTGATCAACCTGTCAGTTTGACTGATCATCTCGAAAGAGCACGGTTATTAATCTGGTTCTTTTTACAAGTTTTATGGGGACTTCAGAGAACAGGCAAGCGTAGTTCTTGAGATATTGCCTTCCTCGGTGCAATCAACTATGACTGAAAGTGGTTCATATTATAATTATTATATATAAACATTATAGAATAATGTTCTTTGAATGGCAAGTGGAAAATAAAGATCCATACTCTTCGTAGGAATTTGAACATATATATCATTGTTTGGCCAATAACGGGCAACATTTTGAACACTTATTAAAATAAAAAGTGATATTTTCGTGTGTTTTTGTTTTCTATCTGAACACATTAAGATAAATAAATATTTTTCTAATTTTCTTGAAAACGAATCAACCGATTTTAAAAAATCAATCGTCAAAATAAAGGACTCCGAAGGACCTTTCCAACAAGTTATTACTCGATAACCCCTTGTTATTTGAAATTTTTTAAGGGGCTGACCCTGGAGGGCAGAGCGTGAAAAGGGGTGAAATAGTTTTTCGTTAAAGAGTTGTCCTCCTTGACAAATCTTTTGACTGTCTCGGCTTTTTTTTAATCAATGATTTTCGATAAATCCGTGGTGGGAAGTTTTCAAATGAACACCGAGTATATGTAAATGCGTTGAAAGCGGGCTTAATATTATTTTATTATTACAAGTACAATTTTTGTACACATGATCAAGTAGCCTTATTCGGTTTCAGGAATCCCTTTCCCTACTTCCTGAATTTAAAATAGGGAATTGCTTCTAAGGAACGATGATATATTATAACCTGTTTCTGGATAAACAGACAAATAGTTAGTAAAACTTGATCCCATTTGTAATAAGTTCACAATCAAAGAAAATAAAAAAATATCGATTTTTTAGGATTATAATATTATATTATAAAATAAAGACTTCAACTATCAATAAAAGATATATAGTCAACGCCAAACAAAGTGGCGTGCACGTCATCACGATAAAAATTCCCCGACCTAATGCCTAGGTTTCTATCACAAACAATTGCTCTATTGCAGTTTCATATTAATGTGATATATAAATTGTAAAATGGTCATTACTCTCTTATTATGGTTAATAGTCATATAAACATTGTTATTAAAATATCACATAAGTTGCTTTCAGATAAATTTAGACGCATTATGCGAAATAAAATGTTTTGCAAACGCTCCAATCACTTATCGACATGTAAACGCACTAAACCGATTTCGCAGCGTTGACACATTGTCACCTTGAAACTTATTTAAACTGGGAACTGACATTTGTATTAATTTTGACAGTGAATCAATTTGTGGCATTTCAAATCTTTATAAATCCTTTGGCCCCGCATACTGTAAATCAACAACTGTTTGTTTCAAAACAAAATTATTCATTTTACGAGTAGATAAATGCAATTTTGGTATATAAAGATGCCCAAACAGTTAAATAGTCGGTGTAAGGAACTCGTGGCCTCGTTAATGCACTACTTTGAGCAAGAAAGGGACAACAACGGGCCTTTGTTGCCTTTAAATGCTGTTCAAGAGGTAGGTTACTAATAATTATATGTAATGTATATTAATAATAGTGAAATTTTATTTCATTTTTTGTAGCGTGTTGCTGCTGCTTTAAAAATTAGTTTAAGGACAGTTAGTCGTATTTCCGAGGGTGTGAAAAGTGATGCAAATTTAGAATCGCACAAGAAAAAGCGGAGTTATATTAAACGTGTAACCAACACAGCGACATTGGATACAAGTGCCATTCGAGTAGTGATCTATAATATGTATCACAAAAGTAAGATCTTATTATAATAACTTATCAGAAATTTGCATTAATTTGTTAACTAAATTATAATGTCATATTACACATGGTTTCAGAAGAACAAGTTACGATACAAACTTTATGGTCTCGATTAAGAGATAGGGCATTATTTGATGGTAGTGCCACGTCTTTAAGGCGGTTGCTTAGAGATCTTGGATTTAAGTGGCTTAAGGACAATCCGCGACGAGGGCTCATGGAACTACCAAGTATAGCTTTGAAAAGGGTGGAATTTCTAAGGCAATACAATCAAGCCAAGGTTGAGGCCTTATACCAGTTTGTCTTCCTCGATGAAACTTGGATATTTCAAAATGGGACCATAGGTCGCTCTTGGCAAAATGGAAACCAAAAAAGCGTGAAAGCTATTAAAACAGACGGTAAAAGGTATGTACTTTTACACAATTTGCACTATAAAATTTAAAACTAATATATTTTAGATACATTATATTACATGCTGGAAATGAAAATGGGTTTATTGAGGGTAGTGAAGCGATATTTTCTTCGAAAACAAAATTGAGCGATTACCATGGAGAGATAAACCAGGACAATTTTTTGAAATGGTTTCAACATCAGTTATTAGAAAAATTGGAGAGTCCATCTATGATTATACTGGATAACGCCCCTTATCACAGCATGATATTGAACAACAATGCATGGACAAAAAAAAATATCCAAGACTGGTTGACAAATCAAAACATACCATTTTTAAACACAATGTTTAAAACAGAGCTATTGAGTATTGTTGCTCGGTACATAATGCTTCTTAATTATATATATTTTGGTCGACAGTTTATATTTCTTTTGTTTATTCCTATTCTTAAAATAACTGCTTTTTTAGAAACAAACCACCTAAAATATACGTGATTGATGAATTGGCGGAACAACATGGGCACAAAGTTCTTCGTCTGCCTCCTTACCATTGTATATTTAACCCTATTGAGTTAATTTGGGGCATAGCAAAAGGTTACCAGAACAGACATATTGGTAGAGATGGCAACAGTGAAAAAGACTGTTTGGATATGTGGAACGAGGCTCTACAAACGGTTACCCCAGACATGTGGAAAAATCGTGTTCGACATACTGAGCAAGAAATTTTTAAATGGTATGAAAGAGAACGAATTTTTGATCGACCAGACATCGAACCTTTAATAATCAACTTTGAGAGTGATGAAGATTCAGATTCAGACAGCGCTGAAGAAAGAAACTCCGACTAACTTTATTGTACAGAAAAAGCTTACACCAGTAGCTTACCTAATTTTAGAATGCATTTTTCTGTATGAATTCTGTAAAATAAATACCATGCATAAAATTTGGAGGACCCCATTTGGATTTTTATTCAGTACCTTTAAGCTATCAATTAAATATGGTAGTTTCATAGTGTCATCTGATCAATAATTGTCATACTTAATGATTATGCAAGTACAGATCTATAATTTTATTATACTATTATTTTTGTTCTCATTTGAGGTTAATATTGCTTATAAACCTAGATATGTAAATAATAAATTTTATTATTTTACAAAAAGTTTGGCAACAATGTAAATTTTTCAACACACTCACCTTGATGACGTGCACGCCACTTTGTTTGGCGTTGACTATATAATAGAACCTGTGGAGACAGCAAATTAACCAAAAATATAATCAAATGACAAATCGTGCGTTATGACGTCACTGCCAAGCGCGCAAAAAATGCGGCGTTTAAATCAACGTCATTTTCATTGTAGCTTTAAATATTTAATAAAAAAATACAGACATTTCCATTAATGATGTGTTTAAAGTATTATATTAACTTAAATAATCGACAGAAAATAAAATAACATGTGTAATCCCTATTGCAAGTAAAACGTACGAACAGCATGAGTGTCTGTGCCAGCCTTAAGATGAACTCACTGTTATCAAGCTTACTGTATAAAACCGGTTCAAAAGTGATAATAGTCTAATTTTACCTGGTTGATGTGAGCTAAAAGCAGATTTCCACAGCAACCCTAAAACTGATCATACTCACATGGATAAGGTGGTATTGCTAAAGCGATTGCTACCAACAAGTGTGCAGATAATATGGCATGAAAAGCCAAACGGTCCCACATTTTCATTACTCTTAGCTATGAACCCACACTCTAAATGCTGATAGTCCACTAACTCAGACAACTAATACCCATAATATCAAAAAAAGTAGTTGATGTGAATGCTGCTTATCGCGAGGAGGTCAAAGATCTCGAGTACTCCCATTATACAATACAGTGTTTTTCAGAAACCCTTGCTACTTATGATTTGAATGGAACTAGTTAGGTAGCTGAGATTCGGGATGACAAGACTGACTGAAATATAACGGCTGGGCGCCATATTGTAAGATTCTTTTAATGGTAACCCCTCATTTTGAAGCTCCTTTTGAGTACTTTATAACCCTAGAATATAAAGTCACTAACGTCGAAAATGGCTGACTGGCAAGGTATCAAACTTGAGAGTTTTTGTACGTTTAATTGCTTACAAGTAAGCTTATAACTCACCAACTAATCATCAAAACGTTATAGTATGATGGGATTTTGGAAGGGTCTTGAAAATAATTAACAGAATTTGTATTCTTTTATGGAATGTTCCATATTGTATAACAAATAGATAGGATAGATCCTTCCAAGAGAATTATAAAACATACTAAGGCGTTTCGATTATGGGTAGTTGAGTTGCAAAACCTTTGTGGCAGAATTCTATTAGCACACGAGCAGTAACTTCCGAACTGTAAAAGTAGACTACCTCGTACCTTGTTCACTGAAGTTATTTTAAATGTCCTTGCTGTAACTCAAAACAGAACCTGAACTTTCCAATTACTAGACGTATACCGTACTGGCGATTGCTAAAAAGCATGAAACAACGTTGTATACTGTTGGTCATTGAAACTACGACAAGAAGCAGACAGATTCTATTCAGCTTGAACTTAGCCATATAAGTTTGGACATTTAAATAGAGAGCGCTGTCACACTGCTTAAGGCGACTATTTAGAAGTTCATCATTACTAATTCTTGTTTTGTTATCAGCATGTATAAAATCGACTTACCATTTCGATGGGACTTTGTCAATTCGGTATAAAGAACGTGAATGCGTAATAAGCTCTGAACTATTCTACTCAACCCCTTTTTCTGGTAGTGACGGCTGTCTGATGGGGGTATAGAAAATTTTTATTGAAAGACAATCACAAAACGAAGGAACAGTAGTACCGAGACAGGTTAATGTCGCTCCTTACCTTTGGGTTTCTCTGTGAACTCTCAGTTGGTAACCGGGCGGCCTTATATGGGCCGATTTGATCGGTCTTCGCCGAACCAGTGACCATACTGCAGCAGGTACATACAGGGAGAACCGTTTACTGGGCTCGATACTATATCAAGGAGTACAAAACTACAAATTGCCGCTGATGAAATATAGAATTTGTACGAACGCGTCTCGTCAATTACAGTAGTTGTAACAAAAAGGATCTGAGTTATCTATTTGGAAGTAGGAAGTGCCTGCGCGAAGTCCCGATAAGGCCCTGCCTGGAATACTACTAACATGTCTATGGAGCTGCTGTCCACGCTTGAAGCCGATAAGGATAAACAAACCCGACTGATCGAGTGTGATCTCTAGCCTCTTACACATTAATGCCAAGCCCGCATCCATGTTGTCGCATTTTAAACTTATTAGACGGACTATCAAGACTTATGCTTCAAATCCAAGCTCGACCGACGCTAACCATGAAGACTCGTACTATCTACTAGAAGACTCTCTGCCGACCTTAGCCTATGCAGAGCTTCTAGCAATAAAGACCGGTATTAGTTTCAACGTTATCTGAGTTAGACAGTTAAGCGTACCACACTACGCGTTGGAAGGTTGGTGGAAAAAATGTTAGTATTTACTTTCTACATGACGAAAAATCCACCGAAAGGACACATGTTGGAGTTCATTGCTTTCAAAACTCAATACTATTCATATATCGTAAGAGGTGTCGGAATAAGAATTTTCTGATGGTGGCTAGGCAGAGTTGAGAAGAGAGAGAGAACATAATTTGGTATGGGGCAAGTATAGGTATTTCACTGCAGCAGCTACAGAGTAAGGAAACATTTTCCACAATCTAATCTTCAACTCTATAAAAAACTTTTTAAGAAGTGTACGAGTATATTTGGAAAAAATCATCGCTGTCACCATACTAATCTGTTTGTCTATCGGGTTTGATAATAAAAGAACGGACAGCGTAACTCACAGGCATCGGTATTACGTAACATAAAAAGTGACACAATATCGATTTTTAATGACATAATGTCGCTTATACTGAAAATATCACCTTGGAATTAGCTGCAGTGCCTTCATGTTCACTTGTAGTAGCTGTGCGTGTTGCCTAAACTGCATGACAGTTGAGCTGTATGGTTTGACTCTAATAGACTAAGTGACATATAAATCCGAACACCCAGTTTAAATGGTTTTATTTTAATAAAATTTTGTATAAGTACTCAATGAAGCATAATAAGTAAATGATAAAAATTTCAAAATGATTGCACTGCTTTAAAGTCCTTTGATCTTTAATAATGTGTGGATGCACCCTGATGTGCTACGCATTCTCCAACGCGCCTAGGCATGCTTCTGATCAGGTGGTCAATGTCCTCCTGTGGTATCTCATTCCAGGCAATCACCAACTCCTCTCGAAGTGCTTCTAGAGTCTGAGGAGGACGTTGCAAATTGAGCAATCTCCTACCCATCATATCCCACACGTGCTCAATTGAAGATAAGTCGGGAGATCTTGGTGGCCATGGTAACAATGTGACATCATTATGTTGAAACAAGTCTATTGTGACTCTTGCAACATGTGGTCGGGCATTATCTTGTTGGAAAGTTGGATCTGCCAGGGTGTCAAGATAGGGTGAAAGATGGGGTTCTAGAACTTCGTCGATATAACGCTGCGCGTTCATGTTACCTCTGATGAAGATTAAAGGTGACCTGGAACCATAAGCTATAGCACCCCAAACCATAAATCCAACAGTGTGATGAACATGTCTTTCAACAAAAAACTGTGGATTCCTCCTTTCACCACGTCGCTTTCTAACCCTGGCACGACCATCGTGCATGCCTAAACAAAATTGAGACTCGTCACTAAAGACAATACTGTTCCATTCCTGATCCCAGAGTGACCGTTGCCTGCACCACTCAAGGCGATTACGTCGGTGTTCTCGGGTTAAAGGGAGGACCCAGTGTGGCCGGTATGAAAACAAGCCAAAACTTCTCATTCGTCGATAAACACTTCGCATACCAATAGGTCTTCCGTGTTCTGCAAACCATTCATTTGCAATGGACCTGGTAGTGGAGAAACGGTCCCTTAAGGCCAATAATCTTAGGCGGCGATCTTCACGGTCTGTTGTTCTACGGCGGCGTCCAGTGCTCCTTGCTCCTTGAGTACGGCCTTCTTGAAGCCATGCCTGACAACACCTAACCACAGTGTCTACACTTCTTTGCACTCTAACTGCAATTGCCCGAGAAGAATGTCCAGCTTCCCGAAGTCCCACTATACGGCCCCTATCAAACTCACTAAGTTGACGAAATCGTACAGGTCTCCGTACTCTAGGCATCGTAACCGATCGTAAAGGATGTCAAGAACCAAAATCCGCCAACGTTGATTCTTTAGTGCGGCTGAAATATTCATTTTTAGAGCGTTAGTGAATTAAAAAAAAGCAGTATAAAAACCGGAATATCCAACTGATAAGGCTAGGAAATTTTTTCACTTGTTATTTACAGTAAGATAAATACATTCACCAACTTTTATTAAAATAAAACCATTTAAACTGGGTGTTCGGATTTATATGTTACTTAGTATAGCTTCCATGGCCTAAGCTGTATGTTCTATACTATTGCCGAAATGACGGGCGTTGTGCCATACCTCTATAGGAGTAGAGCTAGTAGATGTTGACATTATGCCGTTTTTTTATGATATTATATCGGTTTTTTACATAATATTCTTACCTGCAACCTGGCTCCCAGCATCCCTAACCAAACTTAACATATTGAAATGACAGCTCCAACGTGGCAACCATTTTGGCCACGTCAGGAAGCTGTCATAAATTTCAATTGACGAGGTACCTAGGCGACGCCATTGAGCGTTTAAGCAAGGAGGAGAATAGCGAATTCAAAAGGTAACATACGTTTCGGAAAGATCCTCCAATAAAAAGTAAGAATTTCGGGTAATATTGCGATGCTTCGGGCGCAAAGCATTAAATATGCTTTCACGACTCACCAAAAACTATAATTTCGTGTCATTTTGGGTATCACTTCTGTGATATACCCTCCAAATGTAAGTACAGTTGTAGTCACCGCTCTTGGCGGGTCAAAGTAAGACTACCAGTATCCCGTTATATATCTCCATCTCCCTCATACATACACATGCAACCTACCCCTGTCAAGCTCAAAGACATACGTTTTTTAGTTGTGTGTCTCCGCCTCGAAAACTGTGTCGTTACGTATGGGTCCCCTACAATCGTATTTGTCAGAGTGACAACTTACTTGACATCGGCGTGCGATTTGAGTTGTCCTGTTATAAATTTTAAATATTAAATTCCCAGAAATACGATCAATGGAAAAGGCCAACAGCTCGTGCTAAATTTATTAGAGTATTTCCAGGGAGAGAATGAGAACCGCGGTCCCCTGTTACCCACTTCATGCGTACTGGAGTTAGTTAGCGAAATTAAGATCCCCCATGGTACGGAGACTCGATCTGTTTATTTATTTCATATGTTGATGACGTAACCGCCAAGAACGATCAACTTTTCTAAGTAATTTCCTCTCTCTGTTGTCAAGAGAAAGTGCCGTTTCAATCAACTCCTTTCTGTCCGTCATCCACTAGGACATGCCTCTCGCCAATAGGCAAGTTTGGAAACAGATATTGGCCCCCATCGCCATGGTGGGGAGGGAAGCCGGTGGCGGGAAGGGAGTGGGGGCTACTAGAACATCAGAGAATAAAGAGTATTTTCTTCATATCTGATGGGAGCTCAACCTCCGAGCTGGGACGGGGTGCTACAAAATTAGGGATTCACCACTTGACTTGATTTTCCAGATAGTTAGTTGTTGAGTTGTTTATTGAGAAAGTTTGATTATACTTTGTTTTTACATTCATAAAAAATCTATGTATCTTGTGTTGTGCGTCTACGCTATACAAAAATATACATTTCATAGGTGGCGCTGGGTGGCCCTGCTTTTTTCCTCCTGCCG